CTTCCACTGGGTGTACGCCGCCTTTTTGGCAACCAGGCACTCCTGGACGTCCTTGGTGAGCCAGGGGGGCTTTTGGGCACTCTTGCCCCCCCTTGCTTCTTGTTGGGATCGTCACCCCTTGGGCCCTGAATATCGTCTCCTTAAGGAACGACGACTTATCTTGGGCACTGAGTTCCCCTGCCCTCGAGAACCCCAGCACCTCTCCCACCAATCTCAACTCATTGAAGTTGGCCCTCTTGAAGTCTAGGGCTACCACCTTGCTGCAGGCCCTTGTCACCCTGCTCTGGATGATGAATTCCAGCAAACGATGATCGCTATCACCCAGGTGGTCAAGGACCTGGAGCCCCCTTACCAGATCATCACCTGTGGCCAGGACCAGGTCCAACAGGGCATTTCCTCTGGTGGGACTGTGCACCTCCTGGGTTAAGTGGAGGTCCTGTATTTCAGCCAGGAACCTCCTGGAATGGTCTGACCTGGCTGACTGCTCCTCCCAGCAGATGTCCGGGTAATTTAGATCACCCATGATAACTACATCCCCTGCCTTAAGTGCCTCTGCAAGCTGGCCTGAAAATTCCCGGTCCAGCTCCTCCCCTTGGTTGGGGGGTCTGTAGCAGACCCCCACCGTTACATCCCTCTCCCCACGACCCCCTTGTATCTTGACCCAGAGCACTTCACCTTGTCCCTCCTCCGACCCCATTTTGCTGGCAGAGGATGTGTATTGCTCTTTGACATAGAGCTCCACACTCCCTCCCTTCCTTCCTTCTCTATCCCGCCTATAGAGTCTATAGACCCTAATGCTAACTGCCCAGTCGTGGGATGAATCCCACCATGTTTCTGTAAGCCCTACTATGTCTGGGTTTGAACTGCCTATTCTGAGAGCGAGTTCCTTCTGTTTGTTCCCCATACTACGAGCCTATAAGACACCTGTTATCCAAACCTGATACATAACATACTTATCCAGATAACACTGGTAGAGAAAAAAATGTAAACGGTATTACTTTGCTCAATGTGATATGGTATTCAAAGCCCATGAGCCCATAAAGAGGAGATGCAAACTTGACAGACTCATTCTTGCGATGTTTGGGCTGGCTGTCAGGTCTGGATGTATGCTTAAAAGGAAAGAAGCCCAGTAGTTGACTTCTGGAGGGTATGGGTGCCTTCAGTGAATATATGGAGGAAAGAGAAAGTCAAGATATCCTAGGCTCATTGTAAGAAGGGTCCCTAAACCCTGTGACTTTAAAGAGAAAAGACAATAGCTAACTGAGGGCCAGCTGAGAGAAATAGGCAGCCAAAAAGATAAAGAAAGTAATAGCTCCAAAGCTCCAGGCCACTTACCTGAACCAAGCTGGTAAAAGGGCTGCAGGGCTGGACTACAGAAAGTGTGTTGAAGTGCAGTTGCAACAGAGCTGAGCAGGCTGCCAAAACTAGGCAAATGAGTACCCTCTGCTACTGAGCGTACAGCCAAACAGCAGAATGACAGGGCTGCAAAGCATTACGGAGGGCAGCTTACAAAGAAGCTGGCTTGGCCACAAGGTGGCGCAGAGAATGCTTGATTAGAAGAATCTGGCTACAGGGCTGTGAATCTGCTTACTGAGAGGCAGGTGGCTGAGAAACAGCCTGTAGATTCATTAATGGGAAACCCATGTGCCTAGCTCTGAGACGCAGGGATCAGGTGACCGGAAGGGAATGCAGCTAGTAGGTATCTAGGCCTGGCTTCAGGGCTAGGGAGACACTCTGCACCTGAGTTGTGGGAAGAAATGCTCCCTGAAGAGAGAAATTAATAGAGTAATAAGATACCCCAGATAGGCCAACTGGTAGGGCCTACTTTTTACACAAGCAATC